AACCAATATCCATTTGATAACGGTGATGCATACATGCAGGACTTATTGTGAGCTAAAGTAACCTCGGAATGGGCGTGAATCTCCACCCGAGCAAAGCTGACGATCAAATTGAAATCAAAATTTGCTGTTATGATGTAACTTATTTTGAATACTCCAGTTGATCTCATTTTGGTTGACTTAACAGTTAACTCAGCAAAAATGAGAGCAAACTTTTACACTGTTGAATCAAACGAAAAACTAATATTGCTTTCAATGAAGTTTAACTGAATACGGGCCTGGCGTAAATCGTTAGCATCCATGTTTCTCATACTGAAAGACTTGCTTGAGCTCAAATCTCACCCCGGGCAAGTCACGAATGATATGTTAAACAATAAAAATAAACAATAATAGTTAGTTCAACGACAGATGAGACAAGACATTAACACAGATGACAGATGAGACAAGACATTTTAACTACATAATGAAAGCACAATATGATATCAGACTTATGTCGTGACAATTGAAATCAAAATGAGTTTTCATTATGATGGGAAATGCAGACTTAAATATCGATTTGCTTCCATTTTGTTAACCAACTTTTCTCGGGCAGACATTCTGAAATGGATTGCTGGATCTGCAATAAAGCTATCACCTTCTAACTCCCGGACTAAAGCTGTCTACAATGACCATCAATGCGACATTGTAGAGATAGTTCTTCCATAATAACACTGCCGGCCAGTGGGGGTTAGAGGGAATATACACACTCACATAATGAGGACACATGTTATCCCATATAATTTCAAATAGTCTTTCCTGATCTAACGGATTGGATAGTAGTTTGTTTGGGCGTTCGACCCCAATTTTGAACGTTAAGAACGCTTCACTGCGTTGTTGCTTCCTTTCATAAATTGTTTGTCGATTACTTTGGTCCCTATTCGGATTCCCGTACATGTATCTAATACGCTCCTCAAAATCATCCCAGTTATCGAATTCATCAGAATAGCATGAATACCAATCGTATGCTTCTCCTCTCAGAATAGTGTGAAGGCAATGGAGTAAGATATCTTCTGCTATACGATCCATCCTGGCAAGTCTACGGACTTTATGAAGAAAATCTTTTAACGATCTTTGACGAGAATCGCCAGTAATCGTTAGGTGCCATCCCAAGTAGCAAATGGGGTTTTATAAGGGTTCTGCAGACTATGATTTAGACTTCTAGCATGCTTTAAAATCGCGATAAAACTTGCAATGTTACTTGGGATTTCTCCATACGCCTATCTGCCGTTATTATTTCTGTTTCACTGATAGTGTGGCTTCGGTTATTTTCTCGTTCATTATTGTTCCTGTGATTTTGTCCACCCCTACCATTTGTGTCTTTGTTGCCTCTCCCGAATATTTGCCAATTCTTGCTCTAATTTAAAAATGTGGTTGATTACGAACTTGTAATCTTTTGTATTATGCGTCTGTTGTGACCCACTCTGTTCCTTGAAAATTGCACCTGTACCATTGATATTATTTGTGTCCTGCAAAACTTCACCGCCTACCGCTCCCTCCTCTTGTCCATTCTGTTCACTAACGTTTAGGGGTTGTTAAGGTCAAATTACAACAACAATACTTTAATTTATATTTCCAGATCTTCTCGCATCATCACAGACCTAGAATCCTCTGCCACACAACGCTCTACCCTTATCAAATAATGTTTCAACCTTGAAATACTCCAATCGTCATGACCTTTCTCCAATCTTTTAGCAAGCATGTCCATTTTGTTTGCAATATAGTCATATTGTTGGTCCATCGTGTAAGTACATGAGTATGTTCTATTTCTTTTAGCATCTTCGTAGAATAAATTACTGAGTAATCAATACTTATCAATTATCATTAAGTTTTCTTTATTTCTACGAATAATTAATTCAGAATCTACTTCTTTACTGGTTAAATGATCTACTCTAGGAAACCTGGCAGCCATGTTGACTATTTTCCGTAATATTTCACGGTACTTTACAAAATCAATAACGTAATGTACTGCACGAAACAATTTCCAAATTCACATAAAAAACTAATATTTTATTTTAAACGGTTCAATCTACATGCAATACTATATAAACTATCGAAACGATTAACTTTATATAACCCAAGTATTAAATTTTATTCATCAACAATCTGCCAAAAAGCAAATATTCTCAAAATTATGAGACCTGCACTTGGGCGCCAAATGCAGCCGGCATAAAGTCGGCTAGCCAAAATCGGTCTACTAGGGCGTTCCATAGCTTGGTTTTTTAAACAAATGGCTTAAGCGCCACCTCAACAGAGGACCACTTGTCGTTTTGTATGATAACTTTGATTCTGTGCTTAATGCTACATTAATTCAATCTCTAACCAAAGTACCGCTACAACCAAGGTTGCAAAGACTCATTTCAGCTAAAATAATGTTTTTCGGAATAATAAAACCAAAAGATGGTATGATGGCATGTTTTACTTGTAACTTACAAGAAGAGGTTACAAAGTATGCGTTGTAAACATAAAACCTGTAAATTTTGCTTTCTATGAGTCACAATCAGCGATTTGCTGATCGCTGAGTGAGTGAGTGAGTGAGTGAGTGAGTTTGTGAAAAATCGCTGATTGTGACTCTCATGAAGTGAAATAAACAGGTTTAATATGTCAAACACATTCTTTGCAACCTCTTTTTTTATCCTACCAATTCAAAATTTGATCATGGCATCTAATTATTTCATAATTTAGAAAAACATTGTTTTAGCTGAAATGAGTTGCAACCTTGGCTACAACAAGATGATAGATTTAATTAAAAAGCAGTTTAAGAAATCTTGAAATTCATACAATTAAATCTAGCGAAAATATTTCGAGATCATGGATGATTTCAAGAGAATTTTGAGATTTTTGTTATAGAATTCCGAAGATAACATCAAAGGGAGTAGATGTATCCAAAATTAACATGGGATTCTCCTTGGATTTTGCAATGGATTCTTTTCACAATCCGTTACGAATTCTTTTCAGAATTACGATAGAATTCTTATCAGAAATCACTGAATTTCCTTTCAAGGATCTCAAAAATATGTCAATGGCTAAAATTGTTACAAAAATCAAAGATTATAAAATAAAGAAAAAATAATCCAAGATTATTGTAAATTACCTAAAGTGGCAAAATCTAGAAGATCTGGTTGTGGTTTATATTCTTCAACGAACCTGAGTTTGATATCTGTAATTTTGGTTCTTTGGGTCAAAGTTCAAATTGTTTTTATTTTTTAATTTAACGTGGTGCTGTATTTCGAAAGTTTTTTTTATTCTCTTAAATTTTATTTTTCAAAATTGGGCTTTATTCACAAATTAGGAGAATTATATTCGAGCTCAACAAATTTCCACGGTAGTTGAACTTACAGAAAAATCCAAAATTATTGTGATGCACTTTGACTTCATATACTTTTAAGCTATAAAACAAACCATTCGAGTAGTTTTTTGGCAAATTAAACTAATGCAATAAATTAACAATTATTCGAATAACTGTTTTTACACTGCTTACAAAGAAGGGTATAGATATCACTTGAAAAACCGACTATCCGAGTGTCATATACCATTTGACTCAGCTCGACGAGATCGGAACATGTCTGTGTGTGTGTGTGTGTGTGTGTGTGTGTGTGTGTGTGTGTGTGTGTGTGTGTGTGTGTGTGTGTGTGTGTGTGTGTGTGTGTGTGTGTGTGTGTGTGTGTGTGTGTGTGTGTGTGTGTGTGTGTGTGTGTGTATGTGTGTGTGTGTATGTGTGTGTGTGTGTGTGTGTGTGTGTGTGTGTGTGTGTGTGTGTGTGTGTGTGTGTGTGTGTGTGTGTGTGTGTGTGTGTGTGTGTGTGTGTGTGTGTGTGTGTGTGTGTGTGTGTGTGTGTCTGTGTGTGTGTGTGTGTGTGTGTGTGCGTGTGTGTGTGTGTGTGTGTGTGTGTGTGTGTGTGTGAGTGTGTGTGTGTGTGTGTTTGTGTGTGTGTGTTTGTGTGTACGTGTGTATGTGTGTATGTGTGTGTGTATGTAACGAAATGAATGCGCTCACGTTTCTCAGCAACCGCTGAACCGATTTGGACAAACTCGGCGCCAAATGATAGGTCTTGGGGTCCCATTGAACGCTATTGAACGGTTTTGAATCGGTGAACCGGTTCCGGAGATATGGCCGGAATAAGATCCGGTGAATATGGGCCTTCACGCTGGATTTAACGGAAAACGTATCAAAACCATCATGCGACACATCAAATTACTACAGCATTCAAAAATAAGATCAATGCAAGTCGTGTTAAGTGTTCCAGACCACATTGAACACACTTGGACATGTTCCGGGTACCCTGGGAAGTTGCTTGAATATGAATTGAATTAAAACCCATTAAATCACATTAAAATACGATGATAAGGTGATTGGTAGCCTCACCAAATAGACTACACCCGGATATATTCCGGGTACCCCCAGACAGTGGCGTAGCGTCACTGGATGACACGGGGGTGGGGGGCTTGGTCACTGATAATGACAATAAAATAAATAAACTTGAATAAGTAAGAAGGGTCTGATCACATCATAGGTGGATAAATTCGGGTTTTTTTTTTATAATCGCAAAAGCTATGACCTTTTTACACCAAGCAGTCAGTTAAAGGTTAAACGCTGCGGAAACCTTATTTCTGATTGAGCCTCTGTTTATGCATTTTTTGTTTACAAGATGTTGGGATTAACTGGAACATATATAGACTGGAACATATATATGGTGTCCAGCCTCTACGACAGTGTTTGAACAAAGAGCTCTAGAGATTTTTTCAATATTAAATTTGGTAAACTATTAGTTACAGTATAAACTACCTGGGATTTTGCAAGTTAAGATTTATTGAATTTAAAAATAATCATTTTTACTGGGCATTTGTGAAGGCATCAGCAAAGTATTCTTGAAGCATTTCAAATATCTAGTCCCAAATCTCAACACCTGCATTTGGATCGTTCCGTAAATAAGTCATTTAGGTGGAATTTGAAAATATCAGACTTACCATAAGGACACAGGCACTGGTAGGCATTTCCTTCGTGACCCTGAGAAAGATCGACGCAAATGCCATTGTTTGTACACGGGGATGGCGTGCAAGCATCAATCTCCTCGCAATGAGATCCTGCAAATCCACTGCAGCACTGGCACTCGTAGCCTTCCTGTGGAATTGAAAATAGCGGTCAGTATTAATATTTCTGCAAGTTTTCATGAGTAAAGGAATGGCTTGATGATCAACTTCAAAATTCTGTTTAGGTTTTAGTGCCAACCATGGTTAAAGGATACGCCAGTTGTTCATCCATCAAACACTCTACTTCAGTTTGCGGTCAGCTACTGCATAATGGATGAGCAGCAGTGCGAAACCATACATGCATGACGAGTCAAACAAACGGAGGGTGCTTCCATTTCAATGCAAAAAAATGCTTAGAGCTACGGAAGAACTGAAAAATGAATTAGTATTCCGGTGTGCATGTTGGCATGTCGGTTTTAGAGGTTTTCAGTTAGAATGAATGTCAGTACTCCGCTCTGTCGGTTTTATTCTTTGACGGGTCTTTTTGTGAGAGATGTCCTCACTCCCCAAACAACAACTGTCTTCTCTGCTGTCGTTGAATGATTGCATGCATTCCACTGTGAAGTGAAACCAATCACGCTGAACGACAGCGGCGTAGTGAGGACCCGTGGACCGACAGAATGAATTTGAAAATCACTTGCTGCATCACCGTCTCACGCTTCAAAACACTAAGTCAATCGACAACCAATCCGCTTTGGTACGGTGAATTCTGAGTGGACCCATCATCATCCTGACCTGCCGTCGTCCACTCGACAAGTCCGATATTCTTCCGGCGATGAATGAAGATTCACCAAAATTGCACCTCAATTGCGGTCCTATAAGCCTGACAAAATCGAACATTCGTTCGACACCATCACCGTTCGTTCGTTGTGCTTCGAGGTGGAACAATACGACAGTCTAATGAGGAAACTACTTTCGTTCTTCGGCTTGTGGATGACCTCAGCCATTCATATGTACTCAAACACAGCACAAAACTCTGACAATGCGAGTCACCCCCTCCGTCCTTCTACATACCCGCACAGAACATAATGGACCCCCATCGAGAGGGTGAATAGTGAGGGTGACTACTGCGGTAGACAAAATGATGAAACGGATTTTCACCGCCTTTTCCCACATACAGTACCGGCCATAAGTGTACAATTTTGTGAATTTGTTTACCCTTCAAATGCGATCCTTTCCAGGATGAACTATAGAATTCATGAAATTTTGATCAATATTTATCGGTATAGTTTGATGCTTGATAAGCTAAGTATTAAGGTAGTTTGATGATGATGGTTCCCCTGCTTACCCCAACAAAGGTTTGAGCTGGGCGATTTCTCTTTCATATAATTAAGTATAACACCTGAACCAGATTAGCAAACAAAAACGAACTGGTTCCAATTACAGATATAAATTCCTTCTCAGTTGCTTCATAGCGATATAAATGTCACCTCTTTGTTCACTTTTTTGTAAACCTTAAATATTCACAAGCATTCCCAGGGATCAAGAGTTCATGAAAAATCAACAAAACATTCTAATACACTAATAACCCCGTGTCGTAATTTTCAGCAACGTCAGGAATGCAAGCGAACACCCGACATTCAGCCAGAAATCTTGCTACTAATTCAAGGCATCTAATAAGCTTCACCCAAGTAGCACCTGTAACCTTTTTTTATAAGAGAGAAAGAGGATCATTTTACACAATTATTGCATAAGGTAACCGTGAAATACATATATGCAGCTATATATCAAGTAAACATGAAGTTACGTCATGACCTTCTAAGTAACAGGACACATTAATGTCACACAATGGTCATTTGTAACTACATATTCAAATTGTCACTATGTTGAGATCAAATTGCGACTTATCTGGTCTCAATGATGACACAGTGTAACCTTGTTGTGTCGATCTAATGTTATTAATTGGTTGAACTGTAACTGAGTTGCTACACAACTTCGTGCGGAAAAGTTGTTACGCTGAAACCTTATTTTTATGACGAATATGTAACTTGGCAACTATTGTATGCCGCATGACAGTTACGTTTTCGTTGCAACGTGACCTTAATAGACGCATGTCTCCAGATGGAAACTCAAATGTAATATCTATGATCTACAAAAATGAAAGCTACACTGCAGCTTTGAAATGTTTCGCCAAACACAATCTAATTGTTTGTTCATAGTCTTTTTTTAAATTAAATCCAAATGGTAAAGTATTTTATTAATGGTGATGCTATTGTAGGAAACCAGCTGGTTGTAAGGTGCGATAAAATTAGGGACTTAGGAGTAATTCTTGACTCGAAGTTGACATTTGTAGATCATGTGAATACCACAATTCACAAAGCAAATAATATGTTGGGATTCATAAAAAGATTTAGTTACCATTTTAAAGACCCATATACCATCAAAACACTTTATATAGCTTACGTGAGATCAATTCTCGAATACTGCAGTGTGGTTTGGGCTCCATACCATGAAACTTATATAAATCGTATGGAATCAGTTCAAAAACAGTTTTTGTTATTTGCTCTTAGGAAACTAGGCTGGACCTCTTTTCCCCTGCCTTCTTATGAGTCCCGTTGCATGTTGATAAACATTGAAACACTTAAAAAACGAAGAGAAATTTCCATGATTTCCTTTGTCAATGATATTATCTCACAACGCGTAAATTCAGAAAAAATATTAGCAAGATTAAATTTTTACGTACCATCACGCATGTTAAGAACTCGAAATGTATTTGAACTGTCACCTCACAGAACGAATTATGGTAAAAATGGACCAATTAATAGAATGATGAGAGTGTATAATAATTATTGTGAGCATATAGATCTAACGATGTCTAAAGATACAGTAAGGAGAACACTAACTTCTAGGATTTCATCTCGTTAAGTTTAAAACAATTTTTATTTTTTTAGATATTTGTATATGCAGTCTACATTTGCTGACAATTTCAAATAAAACGTATGTTTTAAAATAGCATGTAAGGCAACAGCACTATTGTAAAACGGTCTACACTGATTGACGACAAATAAATAAAAATACTGAACCTTAAGGACAAATTAATAGAAACGTGTTTTTATTCTAATCTCAAGAAATTTTTCATATCATGAAACTTTTCAAACCAAGTGTACACAAAATATTTTTTTGTTTGAATCATATAAGACCACAAGAATGATATTAATTCAATTAATCTCCCAAAACTCCAAACTTCACCCTAAATATGAAACTGTTTGTTTTTTTTTTTCTGATACGTGTTTTTGTTACAAATATCTCTTATGATTATTATAATTTTACAAAGCCACAAAATGATTATGCCTTAAAAGTACTCTGAAAATCAATATTCATCACCAAAATTAAACCTACAATCAAAGTTACAAGTTAACTTATTTATGATTGTATGTAGTCCAATATTGCTATTTCGTTACTGCTTCGTAACTAGTTTTGTAACACTGAACTGGTTACATATCGAATCGCATCTTGCGTTTTTTTGTTGTCATTGATGTTGCCTTCATGGTTGCTTTGATGAATTTAGGACACATAATTTGGTCACAAAATAGTAGCAGCAACTTTTATGTGACAACATGTGCTACTTTGGCAATGTTCAATTTTTTTTATGTTAAATTCAGTCTCTCCTTTGTAGACTACAAAAAATTACTGTTTTTTTTTATAGCTACACGCAAACCAAAAAATTATTACAATGAATGTTAGATCCATTTTCTATCATCCTCTGTTCATGAACATCACAGCGAATGTTATAAGTTGATCTATCAGGCAATGTAAGGGTTTTTTGTCTTTTTTATTTCGTGTTATATCTACGCTTTCGACTGTACCAGTAAGCTCTTTATTTATAACATTGTTATAACGACGCACGCACTTGCCTCGAACCTCTCTAGCAGTAAAAAGCATACGAAGTCGAGTATGCGAGAAAATGAGCGATTTGTGTTTGCTTTTAGGTTCTCCAATTCAGGAGCATGGAGAGAGCAGTGGAGAAAGCACAGGTCTGATAATCACAACGTTCGTGGCTCGAGTCCAGTCGGCAATCTCTTTCCTATTTTTCTTTCGACATAACCAATTTTACTCACTAATACACTCTACATTTTTCGGGTCTCCAATTTTCTTGCATTGGACCGCAACTAGGTATATCACATCCTCGGTTCATGCGGTCTACACTAACATCCTCTGATGATGAATCCCACATAATTGTAAGTGAATCTTACCCCGGTTGGGTGTACTTCTATTAAATCATGTTTGAAAATCCATCATCACCATCGTGCGGACAAAATAGTTTTTGCAGTACTACAACAACTATTATAGCCTTTTTAGTACTCACTGCCCTTTTTTAGTACTTAATCATCTTTTTAGTACCTTTTTTACCTTTATTATGGAGACTTTCAGCCGTGGGCTCGTTTGTCTCTGCTTTTAGTACCTTATTTAAATACAATGAAGCAAGTAATTTGATTATGAACTGATTTTTGGAAATCTAATTGTTGATTCAAAATAGTGAACGGCTCCGTAATGCTATCACGAATGAGTCTAATTAAAAAAAAAAAACTTGCCTAATGGAAATAAATTGTGATTTATGGTATCCGCATTTTAGGTATTTTTGAGTGTTAAGTATTGAACAGAGAAAAAATACCATGGTACCATAGAACGTTATTGAATGTTTTTGGAAACGTTTCGCTGGTTCCAGAACTAAGGCCGGAACATATTCCGGCGAGTATGGATCTTGAGACCAGAAATTTTCAAAAACGTGAAAAACCCACCAAAATTCGAAAAGAAAATCAATAGGAGTCATGATGAGTAACCAGCACCATGTGCCATTTTGCGAGTATCCCCTGGGAAGTGGTAAAACCTTTTGAAATCAAAATCCATCGTGCGACACATTAAATCACATGAGAATTCAGAGCCATAACCATTGGCGTTCATATCGAGGATCGTAAGAACTACATCGGCCTCATCCAGACTTGTTACAAATACGCTAGGGGAAGTGAAGAGTATCTGTCATGGGTCAAATCTTATGATGCGATATTTTGTTTAACATTCTTAATTCAATAGAAGTAAGTCTTAAAACATAGCTGTTACGTTGATTTATAGTTTATTTAATAAAATCATATT